TCCACTCCAACTGAGTAATCACAACAACAAATTAGGTCCAAACACATTCACTTTTTCACCGGCACGTCATCCCCGGGCAAGTTCACGTGTGCAGTACGTATAGTATAATGGTACATGGATACTGACGGGCAGCATACAAATAGCGCATTCGCGCTCACACCGCACAGTAGAGTAATGCAGTATGAGTCAATAGTGTTAACCGCCGTACATTCCCAACAACCCCAATGGTCCACCGAACATCCTGTCAAGCCCCCAACGCTTCGCTCTCTGCCGTCGTCGAAACGACGGTGTTCGAACGGAGCGCTACACCAAGAGGACTAACATATCCTAGCTACTCCTATTTATGGTGTGTGCACAGCCTATAGTCTATCCCAAGCCCATCGGAGAAAACTCGAGAAGACCCACGGTCCTATTAACATAGTACACTAATGGTCCTAGTTGATCAATTGGCTCCAAAAAAATGGACCCAGTAGTCAAACCACACATGAAAAAACAGAACCTGGTTCGTAACGGGACAAAAACTGCAAGGGCTCAAATCCAGAGAGAATCTGCTATTGAGCTCTGAAATGCTAAACCAAGAGGCTGCCGGTTATCAGGTTCCAAAAGGCCCGATGGGCCAGCTGGCCCGTTCGAAACTGACGAAAACGTAAGTCCATTACGGGACAAAACTACAGTACCTCTGAAAGGAACAAGGTCTACAAGTAAGCCTCAGACACAGAAATCAACTAAGGAGCCCTGCACCTACCTACCTACACATCGCTTAGCAATCCACTACAGGGTTTTTCGTGCCCAAGGCAGGAAATCTCTCCTAAGTTAAGAAGCGTCATCTGCTCTGTGCGGGGAGCAGCACCCAAGCTTCTAACACCAGGCGCGAGCTGGAAGGCGCAAATGGTCGCTTCCCAGCCAGCCAGGAGGCCCAAGCCAATTATCTCCGCTGGAGAATCTGAAGCCCATCACTGGAGGCCGCGGTGATAGAATGGACAGACTGGGCTAGCACTTCCGTGCTCACTACCAACTGAGCTAGCCCGTTTGGGCTTCCCAGATTCTTTTTAGTTTTGCAAGTGCTTTGAAAATTGTTCTGCGCCACCGGGAACCTGGTTTGGGACCTTGCCTGGGACCAGGTGCAGCAGCGCCAACTGGGCGACTGGATCCATACCGGTCGTGATATCCAGCCCACCTCCAGGGCTGTAGCGTCCTTGAACTCACACCAGAGTGTCAGTGATTTTTGGCTCTCACGGTTCCTAATGGGACGCTGGGCCCGGTTCCCAGCACGTGCGGCTCCCCACAAATAAATAGATTGGAGCATTGTCCCGCAAAAAAAAAAAAAAAAAAAAAAAAAAAAGAAGAAGAAGATTTTTGGCTCTCACGGGGCCAAAGCTCTTGATGTGTTTCACAACTGTCACTGCATGAAAGCGTCCAAATAACCGCTCTTGGAGCGTCTCCAGGTTTTTTTTTTTTTTTTTTTTTTTGGAGTGTCTCCAGGTTCTTCATTAGGTGTACAGACTTCAAGAGGGGCCCATGATGCTGTTTAACAGGTGACGTCTCCAGATATTTCTTACCTCATCGATTTTGCTGGCTGTAGCGTAGCTACCCCTAAAAAAAAAAAAAAAAAAGACGGTTGCAAACTTTGCGATGGGCTGTAGTGCTGAATGTGTGTCTTTTCCTTTTTGCATATTTTACTGTCATTAATGATTAATACATCATCCACAAATGTAAGTCTGTGAATGGATTTCTCATCTGCACGCAAGGATCTTAAAAAAAAAAAAAATAAAAAAAAAAATAAAAAAAAATCTATGCCATTAGTGGTCATCATCCAAGTTACAGACCATGTTGGTTATGGGAGGACTTGATCTTTTCCCCATTGGCACTTCTGTCTGTTGTCTCAGCATCACTCCCTGGAATTGAAAAAATGCATGTGAAATATCATTCTGTAATTTCTGTTTGTTTTTTTTTTTTTTTTTTTTTATCATTCTATTACTGCAGCAATCTCCTTTTTTTTTGATCTGCTGCAATCTCGATATCTCAAGTATCTTTTTTTTTTTTAACTCCGGAACGGACAGACGCTCAACTATCTTGATTGTTCTCCATCCACGTACGGAGATTGCTGCAGTATGGTATTTTTTTTAAGTCCAGGGAGTCTATGCTGAGACTAAACAGAAAGAAAGACATGCTTTTCAGATGTTGCAGAGCAGAGATGTTGGTGGGTGGTAACATGAGAAAGCATCAGTGTCTATTGTTTTTTTTTTTTTTTTTTTAAACACTGAAGACCCCATCCATTCTGGGGGGCATCGGTCCGGTTGCTTGTCACCGGCAAGCATGAGTTCGTCAAAGCTCAAGCAAGATAGTTGCAGGGATAGAAATCAGGCAAGCCCTTGCAGTACTAGTCAGTGGTCACCTATCGAGGGGGGGACTTCTACAGGCCATCCCACCCCCCCCCAAACCATAGCCTCCACTGGGGTGTCTATTGTTATTTAACGTGTTACCAGATTAAAAAAAAAAAAAAAAAAAAAAAAAACTGGAACGGGACACTCGTACTCCTGTCTCTTATACACATCTAGATGTGTATAAGAGACAGCGATTGAAGCAACGGATAGGTGGGCCACCGATTTACCTGCTCTTCATAAGGAGCGGAACCTGTGTTGGGACTCTTGGGACTCTTGGGACCCATGTGGCAGATTGATGAAGCAGAACCTCTGCTTGTGGCCTGATTTGTGGGGTTTGGGACATTGGGACAAGCTACAAAGTCCGGTTGCGATGGAATGTGTTGGCATCAACGAGGCAAAAACAAACTAAGATTTAAAAAAAAAAAAAAAAAAAAAAAACACCAAACAAACAAACAAACAAAGATGTGTGTGGGTGGAAAACAGCAGACGTTTTCCATGGCAGAAAAAAAAAAATATATATATATATATATATGTCACAGCCCCTCGTTTGTTGTCCTCTTCTCCCTCTCTGCCTACGGTTTACCGGCCAGTTCTATTTGTGACGATATATTGTCCTCTTCTCCCTCTCTGCCTACGGTTTACCGGGCAGTTCTGTTTGTGACGATATATATATATTGTCACAAAGTTATCGGAGCGCAAAAGTGAAAAGAACTTTTCTTTAGCCGGACCCCCACTGGCGGCCCCACCCCATCTCTGACTACCGCTGTTGGGGCGGGGGGCAACATGAATTACCTCGTTTGCGAGGCCCTATGCTTGCAGGGGTCCCCTCTATATAGTCTTAGGAGTAGTGGTAGGAAGGTAGTGAAAGGCGAAAAAATAATTTGAGAGAAGAACATAGTGTAGTTTAAAAAAA